CCCTCGGGCCAATATATATCGCATATCCCATAGCATAGGCATATATTTGGTGCTGCACAAAGCTAATGAAAGCCACGACCGCGAAATTGCGCGTAACTTAGCATAATATTGACCAATCTGGCTAATTGTGTATACGCCGTGTAGGCTCGAGTGCAGTGGCAGCAGAAACGGAAACGGAAACTGACTGCCGACCGCAAACAGGCAAACACACGTGAGGCAAAACCGCCACAAAGTGAAGCCGTGCACATCAACGTAATAATTGTAATAATACAAATGCCGACACTTGCGGACAACAACTGCGTCGGGAGTCCTGCGTCCTGCGTCCTCCATCCTGGCAAAGAGCCAGGCGAAGCCAGCAGGTCAACAAGTATATACGTGTACACAAGTGCAACATCTCCATCATCGGCATCATCATCATCATGATGGCCGGAGGTTGCAGGTCGGAGGTCGCTTGATAATGCTGTTGCTGTTGCGTCAGGAAACTTGAAATGAATTTGCATAAACTTCGGGCCTGGTCCCGAGTCCCAAATTGAAATATGCCAGGCTGCCAAAACAAAAGCCAGCGAACGGCAGCAGCAGGTGAAGGAAGGAAAGAAGGAAGGCCAGCCCCTCGCCCTTCGTCCTTCACTCGTCGACAAGGGTTAAGAAATAGGTTTTAGGGTTGCCACGTTGGCAAGCTGACTTTATTTGCAATATGGAAATATTTTTCATTACCTTGTCTCCATTTTGCTAGTAAAAAGGGGATGAAGAGCCCCCCGTTTCATGTCAATCGCTGGCTGTCAAGACGCTGGAACTCGTATCTGCACTGCTTGTGGTTCTGCATGCGGATTTCGATGCGGATGTGGATGCGGATGTGAATGCGGACGGGGCTGCGGCGCTTGTCTTGGCATATTTTATGGCAATATTTTTGATATTCCCTGTTAGTCGCTCAGCCACTTATATGCCAATTTCGCAGCCAAACTCGGGTGAAGTGAAGTGAAGCGAGGCAACTCTGCTTGGGTCTTGGCTTTAACTTTTAGCAAACAAAGGACACATCCTAATGGAAGTTTAAGCCGTAGTCAGCTATAGTTTGCACTCGGAAAATATTCTGCAAAAATTACTTCATTGAAGATAGAATTATAAGATTGTAGAACGCTTTACAATGTGTCCTTTAAGGCTTTAAAAATGTAAAATAGTTTTATTTCTTTTAAATGATTTATAAGATAATTTGTGTAAAATTCGAAAAGACTTGTAAAAAATGTGATTATGTGATGATATTTAATCAATTATGTTAAAAAATGTGTGTTAAAAATATTATGGTAAGAGTAAAATATTTTAATAGTATTATACTGTAGGTATTTGTATTTGAAAAGAACAATATGGATACAATTTTTTTCCTGAACAAGTGCTGGGTCTATTTTAATTCCATCGTGTGCAGGTCGAATGCAGTGCCCTGTGATGTCGGCAATATGGGTTTATACGTCTCCTCAGCTCCGCAGGCACTACAAACAACCGTGACCATATGCCAACGCATCGATCCCGGTTAATGGGCACTCGACCCGAACTGACTGCACTCGAAGTGCACGGAGCTGTTTGCTCTGCTGACAGATGCGGATATGAGAATGGGGATGCGGATGTGGATATGCGGATATATGTCGATAGTGAGCCGCTGAGAGGGAAAGTCACAGAAGCTGGTCGAACGATTGAGCAATTGAGAGCCGATAAAGTCATTCCGATGAGCATATATGCACTGGACTCTGGGCCCCCAATACGTGGGGCATTAGCGATAATCCGCAGTTTGCCAGATTGTGCTTATGCCACTCGCTTAAATTGAATTGCCACTGCGCTTAGCCAGCGACTTTTAATGCGTTCCATGCAAATAGGGGCGCTCCTTCAGCAAGGACAACAATTACGCGCATTATCCTTTTGACTGGACTCGGACACGGACACGAATCCGGATCCGGACGATAACACGGCGTTTGCTTAAACAAGCATAAATGCGAAACGGTAAAAGGACACTAAAAACGAAACGGACACGAAACTGTTGAATGCGTTTGACGAAAAAGCTATGCTCTTTCGCAATTGTATTTTTCCTAATTTTATTGAAAGTTTTTAGTTTAAAACTGTTGCTTTTTTATTAATTTTAAATTTAAATTAATTTATTTTTTTTCTTCTACATTGTTTTTTAACACAATCTCAGTCTACAAAGAAAAAAAGGGTGTGGTTTAAAATAAAATCTGTATACAGACTATAGTCACTAAATTGTTTTTAAAAATTCTTAAGTATAAAAGGATTATTTTATATAGACCAACTTAAATTATATTCATATTATTTCTAAAAAACCATGAATATATTGTAATTTTTTTAAAGAATTTTTAAGTACGCCCAATACTTGTGGTTGAAGTAGCTCGACCTCAGAGAGAGTATAAAAAGAGCTCTGCAATTTTAATTTGGCTAAGTAGCAGCCAGTGACTGACAGTGGCGCTGGGATGTGAATACCTTGTTAGCGGGAAGGATTCGGATTCGGATTCGACCTAGAGATACCCTGCTCTCCCCAGGGAACCGAGTGCCCTTGGACTTAATTCCGTGGCCCAGAATGACCGAACTTCTGGCAGCCCTGCTACCCAGCGGAGTCTGAAAAAACGCTAATTTAATTTTAACTTTGTGCATCCTTTCCTCGGACCTTCTGTCGGATCTTCTCCGCTGTTTGGCCATATATATAAGTATAAGTATACCTCGTTCCGCACGCCTTGTGTTTGATTTCGCTGTCAGCGTCTTTGGCACACTTTTGCAGCGCATTATAGGGCTCAACTTTGGGCAAGGGGGTGAAAAGTTAAAGTCAGAAACGGAGACGGCAAAAAAATGGAATCTCGCAGCGGACGCGAAAGAGTAAAAGTAAAATATTTGTCCTGCCACGGCCATTGCAAGTGAACAGCGCTGATTGCGGCACTAAAACGGAACGGGTTCTTGTGCGGCGATAAGATTTCCAGCATCACAATCCTAAGGCCAACTTCCCACCTCCCTTTCCAACTCCCTCCTCCCAACTGCCAAGTTAATCGGTCCGAAGTTTGCCCATCCGCCGTCTAATGTGCTGGCCAAACTTTTGGGTCCGGCTCAAAGGCAGTTGGCACCTCGGACCGCTTTCAGTTATTTACGCAGCGTCGCCTGAACCTGACAATCAGCAGCAATTTGCCGCAGCTCCTGGATCCCGCACTCGATTCCACATCCACATCCGCATCCGAATTCTTATTCTTATTCAGAAAGCATCCGATAAGCATAACAGTTGTCGTCGTGCCGCCGGCTCACACCTTGAGATCCGATTTTTAGGGTGGGTTCGATTAGTGATGAGCAAATAAGGTCTTAAAAATAATATATTTATACCTAACACCTAATTATGCTTAATTTTTTCATTTGAAAGTTTTTTTAATTTAATGAAATGTTAAAAATTGACTAAGGAACTATTAACAATCTTTTGAACAATTGCAAATTATAAAGTAAACAGCAAGAAAAATAAAGGGAATTAATATGTATTTATTGTATTTACTTTATTAAGTAATTGTATTTTCTAAAAAGATAAATAAATATTTGTAGCTGTTTAAAACTGTGATTTAAAAAGTCAACATCTGATTCTTTTTAACACTTTGGACTCTGCTTTCTTCCCCCAAGTTCGCTTAAAAAAGGTCGCAAAAAAGACGAGTTGTCACCTCTGGTGGATTCGGTGGTTTTTAGTGGGTGGTTGGGAGGTTTGACGGTTGATGGCGGTGCGCTGCTGCCAACAAATCGTCGCCAGCTGGCGGCGACAATAAAACGTTTTACAATGTAACCAAGGCGACGACAAGGAGCAGGATCCGTGTGGCCATGTGTGGCCAACAATGTGCAACAAAGTTCATAATTGTTTATGGCTACGGCTTCGATTTGATTTTTATGTCTTCCAGGGTTCCGGGGGCAGTGATTGAGTGTCGGTCCAGCGATAACGGGAGGCCATATAAGCCTCATGCCAAACTAAAGGGAGGAAAAATATTAAAAAGTTGGAATTTCTAAGGTCAGAAACTTTTAATTTATTTAATAAAAGTTATCGGGCTTCTAAAGAAATATAAATTCGAGTAAATAGATTAATCATCCATTAAAAAATCTGTCTTGTTTAAGGATCAAAGGAATGATTACTTAAATCTTAAAAATACATTAAAACCACTTGATAAAGAAACGATATATAAAGGGTTCTCAACATTGTTCCATGCTTATTTCCTTCAATTTACCAATTCATACGTTTTAAAACCCAAGTTGCCTTCCGTTCCTCATTTGCCTTAATAGCATAGAAGCATTAGGGATGAAATTTCAGACTATATTATTCCCCATCCTGGGGGACCAAAGCCACCCCACCCACCGTGTTGGCTTCATTATATTGAAACTTTGACGTCGTTATTTTGCATAATTTACAGCACGCTTGAATGCAGCAGCCAAGTATAAGTATATTTCTATAACTACGCCGGAGATGGGAAAATGCGAAGGAGAAGATGATGAAAATGCGGGGGAAATGCTGTGCGTGTCGGTTGTCAACGTTACCTTGGCACATGCGAAACGTGAACTTCGAGACATCGAGTTAATGATTCGCACTTGTTTCGCCCCCGCGGCCACGCCCCCGACTTTTGCACGCCCGGTAATGAAGTTGATTTATTGCATTACAACAAGACTTGCCGGGCCCTTCGATTTCCACAGCTCAAAATGTAGCAAACAGAGCATTGAACTCTGGGGCTCAATTGAATGGAGGAAATAAAGACGAAAATAGATGCATTGTGTGGCTGGAGGAAGGGCCAGCTGAAGTGCATCTGTTCAGTTAGTTCCGCCGGATCGAACCGTTTCCTAGACCTCTATTAATAGATCCTATAGCACCCTACCTCCGAAACTCAGACACGCGTCTGCGATCGTCAGCCGTTCTAATGCTAAATTTAGAATGTGGAGAAGTAGGGCCCCGTCAGCCACCCAAAAAGAAAACAAAAGTCTGGAGCTCCAACTTTAGTTTCTTCAGGATCGCGATGGAGTGCAGAGCTGTTCCAATTCTTCCCACCTACTCACAAGCCTGGTTCGTAGTGCTCGGTGTTTGAAAAAAGTGTTTTTAGTTCTAAATAAGTTAAATATTCTTCGACAGTGGAACTTCCCTGCCCCGAAAACCCTCCCTCTGCCGAACACTCTTCGACTACGGACCTCTGAACGATCCGGTGATAATTCTCATAACACTAGCCGTTGTAGTGGGATCCTTCTGCCTGCTCAGCGGCTTTATACTCCTCTGTGTTGTTTCGAAAGCCTGGCAGGATGAGACCTCCGAGGCCATACTGCTAATGGGTAAGTGGCAGAAGTAACGGGAATTATATCCAATTTAAAATTCCGGTTTCTAGCCATTGGCTTCTTTATCACCGCCCTGTCCTGCGTATCCTGGAAATTAACGAGGGCCCAACGGATCACTCAGCTGGTGGATGCCCTCAGCATAGAGACCCAGACGATTTGACTTGGGACTTGACTTGGGAATAAATCTAGTTGGTGTTTAGTAAATTTTAGTTCCAAAATAGTTAAAACAAAAAACTATTCATGTTAAAAATATTTAATGCCGAACTTAAGTTGTGTTTCGAATCTATTTATTTCATAGTATTAGCATTATCTTATCAAAGCGACCTTAACCTAACCTTGCTTGCTATATAAAAAATTACACATTTAAATTAATTACACGATTAATAAAAAGGAAATGAAAAAATGTTAGATTAATCTGTCTATTGACTGTCTATACTTTGTTACTGATCTGGCTGATTGTTTACTATAAGATAATATATTTAAGTAATTTTCTTAGCTAAGCCACCATTTTATGGGTTATTTAGGGCACAAATCGGGTTAGACGTATAAAGGGAAAAATCGAAGTCTCAGGGAGTAATACGAAAGGGAAGCACAAAAAATGAAACAGTCACTGGTTGATAAATATACTGCAATCGTGAGGAGGTCAACTATAGCTCTGAGAGTATATGTTTAAGGAGATAAGGTAATTTCTTTTATGAATAAATCAGCTTACTAACCCGAAGAAATTAAATTCTTATATCCTTGCAGAGGGTATTGTGATTCTGATTTTCTTAGTCAGCATCTCTCGATGAGTCGGTTTCAATATCTTGTACCACTTATTGAAGAAATTATGGGTCATGTTGTTCTTCATTATTTCTTCAGTATCCAACGTTTTTTCCAGTGCTCATACTCTTAAGATGATTTTCTTTTGTGCCGAAAATGCGAATCGTAGGTAAACAGAGCTAATTCCGCACCCCATTCTGATCACACAGACATGACCTATCCCTCGAAATCCGAGGCGGGAAAAGAAAGCAGCTGCTTGGGCCTACCTGAGATAGTTTTTCCCTTCGTTTTCAGTCTTTAAGCAGAACTCATCGAAGGATGCCGCACATGCAGAACGTCGAACGGGATTTTCCCCTGCACTGGGCCCTGAAACCCATTCGCATTTCCCAAAGTCTCTCTGCAAATACTCTTTCCCTTTACCGAAAGATCTCGCGGAATATGTGGCGCTGCTGCACAGAACTCTGCCACAGCCCCAAGTTCCAGCGTTATTTGAGGTGAGTTGGGGAATAAACCAATGTATATTCAGAGGTTCACGATTTAAATCGATTCTTTCAGGTTCCTCGAGTCCAGTCTCTGCCAGTTCTAAAGAGCAATGAGCCAAGAAATGCGCAGCTGCCTCTGATTTGCAATCTTTGCACGTAGACGATGCCAAAAAGTGTTAGTTGATTTCGATTTATAGCAAAGCTCGGAGAGGCAGAGGCAGTCAACGATCTCGTAGCGGAGAAGTTTTTGATTTGTTTTGACTTAAGAATGCAGTTAAGATATTCATACTTTTGTGGCATCGTAAAATGGTTCTGAGCCAGCAAATCGGGGCAATACCAAGTCGGCGACTGGGAAACTACCCTTGCTCCGTCAATCCCACAATCCGACGCCAGTTTCCCCATCAGGGGAAAACACACTGTTTTTGAGCTGCAATAAATTCCAGAAGCTTTCGAGCTGAGAGCTCAGTATCGTTCGGAAACCAGACGCGTGAAGATTGCTAATTGCTAAGCCCCCGAACCAGTTGTCGAGCAGCAGAACATGGAGATCATTCGATTTGTTGACAGTGCTCTCAGAACTTTGATCGCCGGCAGCCTCCTCATCCTGATGACGGCCATTTACCGGGAGGACACCAACGCCGGCTCCCACTACATTCACCCCAGGCACACGATGCACTAAGTCCGCCGGGATCTCTGGATTTCGATGGAAGCTAGTCCAAAATAACTGGTTGTTTTTAGTGCCGATTCAACGTCATGTCAGCTAACTGCAAAGATAACGCTGGAAGCATTCTGTTCATTTCAAAACTCGTCCCCTCGTAAAATAGTTTAACTTATGTTGTATATACTAAATGTTTAACCTTATAATATAACAATATATTAATTATTTAAAAAGCAAATATTTTAGAGTTTGAATTTTTTAAACTGGATACTGGAATAGAGTTATCAACCGTTAAGTCGATTGATTTGTTATTTTTAACATATGGTGTGAGATCGGGAGAGGCCCACAAAAATCGATTAGCAAGTTTACCGCATTCCCCTCAAACGGGTTGCAGTTTTAAACGACCCGAGCTTGTTTATAAAAAAGTATTTGTTATAAGCACGTGTACTCCAGCATGAGTTGATTTCAGCACGAATCTCTTTCTTTATTCCTGACACAATTTAGAAGCTCACGATTTTGTTATTGAAACAAGTGTGTTTCTAACTGTGTTTTCAAGGAAACTAGTAACGTTTTTTTTTGAAGGTACACATTAACTCATTTACATTAACGGGTTAGTAATATTCTTTAATATTGAATGTATACAAAGCATGTAGCTCAGACATACATATTAAATAACTTTTAAATAATGTTGATCTTGAAATATTGTACAAACGCTTACCATATCGACTGGGTTCTTTCTTACGTAAGTAATAAACACATTTTACATTTTCAGCGCTAAGCCAGGTTTTCAACCAAACAGGATTTCAATGTAGAATTTTGGTTGTTATGACAGTTTCTAGGTTATAACACTTGGAAGTTGGGATTATTGCCCACTTATCTTTGTTATATTTTTATCTTTATGTATAATTTTTTTGCCAAATTAAATATTACTTCTATAAAATGTAAAAACATCTAAGGGAGTGAAATACAAAATTCTTTCCTCCTTAGTAGTATACTATTCGGGCTTAAGCCCCGTACAGTCATCATAAAAGTAACTATTCTCAATAATCGCTTTTTATCAAAAATAAGAAGGTTGAATACGCTTAGTACATACTGGCGTAACAGTTCTCAGAATTATTAATAAGCTGATAAGATTTGAATTTCCCGATTATTTATTAAAAAAAAAATTAATTTAAATAGACCGTTTCTTAAATCAGGAATAGGTATTGAAAAGCTTTGTTTTTTGACATGAAATTAAATGGGTTGATAGAAGTCGGGCAAGTCCGGAATAGTGGCTGAAGGTCTCTGCAGATCTTGGACAGGTCCAAACTGCCTTACCACGCGTTCGATCCAGTGACCGTGAGGCAAGAGATTCGTGAAAATGCTTCCATTGAGACACTTATCGCTCACCCAACTGGCGATCCCCAGTTGAACATAACGATCATGGTTGTTGTGCCACATTAGCCGCATCTGCGGACCACCAAGGTCGCCAGTGCAGAGGGCCCCGTTTTGGTTGCCAGCACAGATCTGATCTGAGGTCAAGGAGTGGCCAAAGATCTCGGAGCACAACTCCTTGGGTTGGCGACTGATGTCAATTTTCTGGAGGATGTTGCTGCTCTTATTGTCGGCAGTCTTTCCCCAACCGACAGTTGTGAACCAGGTGAGCAGATTTACATGATCCCTCAGTCGTTCGTCCACGAAAATACAGATGGGCCGGATGTGAGCTGCAGATGGGGGAATCATCTTGATTACACTCGACTTTCATTCTGGTGTTTGCTTGACCTACCAAAATACTCCACCCTCCTCTCGAGTCGCAACAATCCGATGTCATTGAGATGCTCACTCGGCTTGTACTTCGTATGCCTGAATGCCATGTCCACTTCGTACTCCTCGGCGTCTCCCTGGCACCTGCGATTCTCACAATCATGCTTTGTTTTCGTGTTGTACTCGCCCAGGCGAACAGTTCTGGAAATTAAGAACAATACTAAATTCAAGAAAACATCAGGATTGTAAAACTTACATTGCTAAATCGTCGGGAATGCACTGAGCCGTCGTTAAAACGAACCCTGAAAATACATATTTAAGTAGCTATTTAGCTGAAAGAGAGCTTGGTTTGCCAACTCACAGTGATTTATGAGGGTTCCGGCACACTTGGACCCACTGGGAGTTTTCAGATAAGCCATCCATGGATTTTCTCCCAACTTGGCAGCTTGGCCGTTCATGATTCTCGCGGATATTTGGTTTTCGAATCCGCAATTCTCTTCCAAGAGCAGGGGCTTAAATCCTAGGACTCCGACGGATAGGCAGAGGACTGCCATCCCAACGATGAGGATTTTCGTCATAGCGTGGCAAGTCATACTCATGCACTGATGCTGCGAGGCACAACGAAAACTTTGATTGCCCCTTGGAAGAGACTCTTATCAGGAGACCTTATCCGAAGAAATACCCATGCGCAGTAGAAAAATATTAAATAATAATAAAGACTCATCGAAAATTCTTTATTTAATGATGTTTCTTTAATTGTTTTTTTGCAAACATGACTAAGTAGGGCCCAAATAAAGTTAAATTTAAATGTTTCTTCTTGGAATTTTGTATATTTTCTATATAGCCGTAGCCGTTTTTTAAGAGATTAATAAAAAAACTCTAGATAAAAGTATCTTTTTATTGCGTTATTATTACAGAGCATTGAATCGCTTTTCTAGTAATCGTCTAGCTCTTGTGGCTCATTAAACTTCACCGACCAGTAGATCCACTCGGCATAGCTCACGACATCTGTGATAATGCTCACATTGACGCAGTTTTCTTGGGTGTAGCTTGCGATGCCCATCTGGACAAAGCGCATCACGCCTGAGAACTCGACCAACCTGCCCTGGGGACCCCCGGAATCTCCTCGGCAGAGATTACCGTCATCGTTACCGACGCAGATTTGATTGGGAGTCAAGCGTTGTGCAAACTCCATGACGCAATCAATTGGGTTCCGGCGGTTTATGCGCAGTTCTTGGAGAATTCGACTCGAAAGGGGGTTCGTTTTTGGAGAAGTCTGCCCCCAGCCGGTGGCCGTAAACCAGGTGGCCTCTTCCACCAGCCACTTCAACTGGCTATTTACAAACAGGCAGATGGGTTGGATGTGAGCTGCAAGAAACACCATCGATTAGCATAAAATTCCTCTCTAACGATCTCTCTACCCACGTAAGTACTCAACCCGCCTGGTGAGCCTCAGCAGTCCGATGTCATTGGAAAGATCTTTCTTATTGTAGAGAATGTGCGGCAAGGTCATATCCACATCGTACTCCCTTTCACCCTCTTCCTTGTCGTCTCTATTGTATTCACCCAAGCGAACAGTGCTGAAAAGAACGACATTATTAGCAAAGGGTAAACTTATGTATCAAGAAGGTTTCGTACTATTGTATCCCATCTTCAAAGCAATGAGCCGCAGTCAAGACGAACCCTGAAAAGTATAATTCCGTTAGTTGCTTAAAATATACTATTAATTTGCCAACGAACAGTGATTGATAAGAGATCCGGCGCATCTAAAGTTGGTGGGAGTGTGCAGAAAGGCCATCCAGGGATATTTTCCTCGTCCCGTAGGTTTACCATTCACGATTCTCGAGGCTATTAGGTGATTTGGCATCATACCATCCGAACTTAAACCGCACTCCTTCTCCAACAAGTGGGATGATGTCCCAGGGACCTGAAGCCCCAGGCAGACGATTACTGCGAACACAGCGAAGCCACTCTTCATCACGCGACAAGTCATCTTCACAGACTAATATCGCTAGCTCAAAAACGAATTTTTATATAGCGTTATCGCTGGCTTTATTTCGGAAAAATCCGAGAGTAATAGCAGCGATGACATTCTTCATTTCTTGACTTATTAAGTCGCATTCGCTGACTTAGTTCGGCAAAAACGAATTAACTTATCAGCAAACTAATAAAAACAACGCCTAAACACTCTCTAAATTCCTTTAAACATTGCAAGTTAAAGTTAAATAATATTGTCTAAGCAATAAAAATATAAAGCCATTAAAACGGATTACTTGTTGTAATATTTATTAGGTGTTCAGTTTAGTAAACCCTTTGACTTGTAGCACTTGCCGAATAGCTGTGCTTGGGCATATATTTATTATGTTCGAACAATGTCACCACATCCTGAATCCACAGGTAGAAATCCGTTACGCTGGTGTAGCCCTGTGCTTCCTGGCAATCCATATCGCTCAGGGTAGCGATACCAAACTGAACATATCGGTTTTGGTATGGAAATCTATGGTTTTGAGCCAATGCCGAGCCGGATAGTCCATCGCATGACAGCGAATCTCCTACATTGCCAGCACAAAACTGGCTGTAGAAGTCAATATCTTTGCAGTCGCGCTTGGGTTCAATGCGAATGGGCACAAACTCCTTTGTCCCATAGATACTCGTATTTGCTTGAATATCCGTCATTAACTGGTTCCAGGCGTATCCAATGAATTCCTTTGGTCGCGAATTTGAGCCCGAAATAATGCAGATCGGCTTTATGTAGTCTGTAAAATTCACTTGCAATCAAGAAACAGCCGCGGAATAAATTATTTGCCAAACTACCCACCTTTAAACTGCACTTCCTTGGTCAGTTTCAGTAGACCAATGTCATTGGCACTCGATTGATTATTGAAGTATCGGTACCTTAGAGATAATTGCACCAAATGATCTTCAGCCAAACTAGGAAGTTTCCTTCCGTACTCCCCCAAGCGAACTTTTCTGCAAAGAACGAAATTAAATAAATTAAGTTAATTCAATTAACTGAACTGTTTTAGTTTTAGTGCTTAAACACTTCAAGTACTTACACGATGGCATTAGTTTTAATGCAGTTCGCTGCAGTCAGTATAAAGTCTGTAACGAATTTTTAAAGGTAATATCTTTCTTTAGATTTTGATTTCGTGCTGATGTTTCTTCAAAACCCCAAGATTATTTAGTGGTCTTACATACATTTAGTGATCAGTGTTCCGGCACAAAAGATGGCCCCGTTCTCGTGCAATAAAGCCGTCCAGGGACCCGGTCCCGATTCCTGGTAGTTTGTTCCGCAGTCATTGTACAGAAAACTCACCGATCCGTAAACAGATCCGTTCAAAAAGATAACAAGCAGGCTGACGAGCACTGTGATCGCAGTTAATGCGCTGTTCATTGCGATCCAATCAACGCTTACATACTGAAATACTGAAATTCTTTCGGCATTCAGCGCCTGTAAAAATCATTCTCGGTTTCCCCTATGAACGTTATCAGCAGAGAGCGGACATTACGGGTCAAGCTGATGATTCACTTGAAAACATAAAAACATTTCTTTTGAACGATGGCTATCACGAAGAAATTTATTTAAAACACAGCGCGGAGTTCCGCGAGATCTGAGATTTTTTAATTATTCTAACATAATTACAAACTTTGTGTCCTTAAATTCAGACAGATTAAATGGAGAACTCAATAAAATCATTTAACCAACGTTCTTTGTTTACTTGGTTTGCATAAAATATATCGAATATAATAAAAACAGTTATTATTGGATATTAATTTCCAAGGGACCTCATCGCCCTGCGAAGCCAATCAATGTAATTCGGCACAAATGTATAGACTCCTGGACTTCTACATCTATTCGGGCCGAAGCTCACGATGCCCAGCTGCAGGTAGCGATTGACTCCGTCGAAGTTCACCTTCGTCACGAGAGGTCCGCCGGAGTCTCCGTTACAGGTGTCCCGTTCCACGTGACCAGCGCAAATCTGGTTTTGGGTGACTGGCGCTTCAAGATTCAGCCTACAGTATTCAAGACTGTAACGCGTGAGTACTGTGGTCTGCAGCACATTGGAATTATAATGTGTCACCGTTTTACCCCACCCAAAAACCTGATATTCATCCACATTGGGCACACTGGAGGGACTAAGTACCAAGCAAACGGGCTGGATGTGAACTGGGGAATAAAAAAGATATAATAATGTATTGCCACTTGAGATTTAAATATTTTTAATGTTTTTCCCAAAAATATAATATATAAATAGGAGCCGATCTTATAAAGGCTTCTCTGCCGTTCGTGATCCTTGAGCTTATATAGGGTTCATAGGAAACCCCGCAGATGGGATTCAGAAAGTAGCCGCAAACCAGCTGATGAAGAACTAGACAGAGGCTAATAGCAAACCAAACCGAGAAAGTCCTCATTTCACTTGAGGTATTCGAAGTTACTGAACTCATTGCAACTGGCGATGCTGGTTAAGTAGGCTCCAGTTGGTCTTATCAGCCCCATCAATATTCCAAGAATTCTAAGTATTTCTCGCCTTCGGAACTTTAATAGCTTACACAGAACTACGTTTATTGGTTTACGGAACAATACGTTTCAAGATCCATTTGTCAGAATAACCTGTCGTATCCAATCAATGTAGTTCGGAACAAATGTATAGACCCCCGGACTGCGACACTTATCTTCGCCAAAGCTTACGATGCCCAGCTGAAGGTTGCGGATTACACCATCGTAGTTTACTTTGACCACCAGAGGTCCACCGGAGTCGCCGGAACAGGTGTCCGAACTCTGGAACCCCACACAAATCTGATTCCGGGTGATCGGCATAGGGAGCACCATGCGGCAGTAGTTGTTGTCGTAGCGGGATAGTTTGGTAGTCTGGAGCACATCGGATGCTCGATTGGTGGCGGTTTGGCCCCACCCGAAGGCCTGGTACTCATTTACATTAGGTGCAGCTGCCGGATTCAAGAGCAGGCAGATCGGCTGAATGTGGACTGTGGGGGAAAATAATAAATAATTAGTTTTTAATAATTTTTAGTTTATTTTTTAACCCCACCCACCATTGAATATGATATTCCTGCTCAGCTTTAGCAGAGCAATGTCGTTGGCTAGGGTCCTACTAAAGTGTCGATGCTTGGTGGCCGTCTGAATGTCAAACTCCTCAACGGAAGGAGAACAATTGCCGTTCTGACAGTCGGGATCCGATCTAATATCATGTTCTCCCAGTCGGACCTTTCTGAAGTCGGGAAAACAAAAACTTATTAACCAGAAGATTTGGTGAAATAAGTGGAGTACTTACAGATAGGTTCTCATACAGTGAGCGGCCGTTAAGACGTATCCTGAAAATAGATATATATAGGACATAGTTTTCAGATCTAAGGACTTTTAAAATACAAACTTTGGGTGATGATAGTTCCGCCGCAATAGAGTTCGGAGTTGTAGTACAAATAGGCCATAAATGGAGCTGATTTTATTATGGCTTCTTTTCCGCGAACTATCCGTACAGACACATTGGACTCGTAGGAAATCCCGCAGGTTGGATTCAGAAAATAGGAGGCGAGCACCTGATCCTGCAGAAGCAGGCCGACGACAATGAAAATCCCAGCCGATATTGTCCTCATTTCGCGAGGCGGAATCGTGGTTACTGAACTCTCTGCAGCTGGCGTTTCTCGTTAAATGAGATTCAAGCGGAGCTTATCAGAAATGCAATTCAATGGAATTTGATGCGATGCTCAATCCACCGCAAGAAATTTGTTGGACTTTTTTTATTTTATTTCAGATAGAGCTTTCCTTTACATGGTACATTTATAACGTGCAGTTAGTACTTATCTAGAAAAGGTAATATTGAACGCCATGAGGAAATGGCTAAGGTCAAGATCACAGTAGACCTTCTCAGAGATAACATCCCAAAGCAGATTAACGATGCGGATGGCATCTTGAAAAAAAAGAAAGTTTAGAATCCGAACGTATTTTGATTTACGACCACCCTTCAACGCGAAATATCCGGTATCGCAAAAAGGTTAGTAATCAAAGGTTTCACAATCATGAAATAACCTTACAAAGTATATTATAATTTCAGTCATAAGTTTGCAAAGTAGTGAATAAGACCTTTCCGACCACATAAAGTATATTTATTTTTACCACCAAGAGCCATGTCCGTCTGTCCGTTTCTAAGCGATCTAGTATCTTAGTTTTAAAGCTATCGCGATGAAGCTTTCCCAAAAGTCTTGTTCCCATTGCAGGTAGTACCTATAACTCCCATATATTTGTCAATATAAATTATTCGGCAACCTTGGTGCCGGTAAATGGGTATTTTCCCGCACTACTTGTGCGATCCAATTCGTGTAGCTATAGACGTCCGTGTAGACCCCGATGCCGGTGCAACCAGTACTGCCGTAGCTGACCACTCCAAACTGCACGTTTCGTACCACCCGCATGTGGCTTACTTCCCGGATGAGGGGACCGCCGGAGTCGCCGCTGCAGGTGTCGCCTCCATGGCTTCCGGCGCAGAACTGGTTCTCCTGCACCATCCTGCCCAGAGACTCAAAGCAAAGCTTCGGATCAAAACGCTGGAGCGTCACGGTCTGCAGAGCTCCTTTGGTCCGGTTCGTTTTGGTCTCACCCCATCCCGTGGCAATAAACCACTGCATACTTTGAACAACGTGCCTTTTCGAGGTGTCCAAGATTATGCAGATGGGTTTGATGTGGTCTGCAAACTAAGACATTGAGTAACTTGGACTTTAAAGACACAAATCCTAAAACAACCTTTGTAGGTGACAAACCTATCCAGACGTAGAAGCGCGATGTCGTTCAGGTTTCTTGACTCGGAATATTTCCCATGCCGGATTCCCATGTCGACGTTGTACTCTTCGGTTTGCGGAATGCAGACCTTGTTGACGCAGTCCTCTGTGGTGGTATCGTCGTACTCCCCAAGGCGCACCTTTCTGTTCAAATCAAAAAAGTTTTAAAATACCAATTATTAAAAAATTAAACTGATTTAAAGGAAATTTTATGGCAAATCACTTGGATTGTTCTATGCATTCATTAAGAACATAAATAACCAAGATCATTCCTTTATTCAAGAAGAAACATTCTTGAAATCAAGGCGAACTGCTCTCAAATTTGTTTTACGAGACGATGGTTTTGTCTTAAATTTAATTTGTATATACCTTGGTTAACTTTTTACTTACACAGCCATTCCTTCGTAAAGACAGTGTGCTGCTGTCAGGACAAAACCTAATTGGAAAATTTGTTGTTATCGACTGTAAAGAAATTCTCGAGCCACAAATACCCACGCTGGGTGATGAGAGTGCCTCCGCAAATTAGTTTAGTGGAGGAGTGGATGAAAGCCATCCACGGATTTGAGTTTATTATCGCATCCTGGCCACCGGATATTCTAAAGTTAGACGTCCCGCTGGCAACTCCGCAGTTTGCTTCCAAAAATGCACCATTAGTCAGAGGACAGAAATGCCCGATTACAAGTACTATGAGTGCTATAAAAACATCCCGCATCTTTAAGAACTGAAACTGAACTGTCGAGGCTGACCGGCGATCATTATTATATATTCTTGCTCCTCTCTCATAAAGCTTATCTTTATTTTCTAGTATAATAAATACGTCGGAAAACCCCAACGCATGAATACTCTTATAGATCAAGCGTTCAAATAATAATAAAGTGTAATCAAAAGTTTTTCAAACTTTTACTGTCGTTCCTTTAAAAATATATTTCCTGACACTTCGACCTCTAAGTAAAATTATGATAACTTTTTAATAACGCAGACAAGCATTCTTTCGTACATTTTTCTATGGACCGTTTCGAAAGGCATTTAATTTTATTATAGGCATAATGTATAATTCTAATTGATTATTATCAATAAACGGGGAATCTCAGAGGAGAGCTTCTTGATAAAATCAACTGAGGCCACTTTTAATACCGCAACCTTAATGAAAAGTTTTCCAAGAAAAAAGAAACTGCTTAACTCAAACCTACTTCTATCTCACAATAAATTTTATAGAATAATTGAAAGTAATTTGTTTATAATATACAAGATTGACTTTACTTAAAATGGTTAGCCTGTACAAATAAATGTACTATTTGATAATAGTTATTTTCCGAGTATTTTAAGAAATTATTTGATATAAAAGAACCCTGTGCTGAGCCATACATTTATCACTTGTATTTTTTCAACATTGTCAGGTGAGTAATTCCTTTCGAAAACCGGTATCGATACAGGTACTTCCCAGGGGGCGGGTTACCCATTCCGGAAGAGGGTGGCTGACAGGCTGGCCGAAAAACAGGGTCAAACACCCGACCGGAAGCCATGGCAACGTGGCCAGGACACGGGACTCGGGACGTGGGGTGTGGTTTTGGCTTTGTTTACAAGCAGTCCAGGCCGAAAGTGTCAGGATTCCAGAGAGAGAAAAACTGCCAGAATGAGCACGCGAAATGTGATGATCACGGACCTGGATCAGCCAGATCCCGAACAGCAGCAGCAACATCCAAAGAAGAACAGGAAGGTTCTCCAGACGCTGTCGGGCAACTTTAGTCGCCGCTCAAGAAGTGTGGAGGTGGAAGTGAAGCAGCGACAGGACAACTTGGGCATAGGTCACAAGGACCGCAGGAAGGATCGCTCCTTCAACACGCTGGTAAGCTCTAGAAGATTACCCAACCCATCCTGTGATAACTACCCTGCGATTAAACAGCTGCAGGCCAAGGAACAGCAGTTGGAGCAGCTCGTCCAGCGATTGGCCACGTTGCATCGCTACAACGACCAGTTTGCCAAGGAGAATGACCAGCTGCGCCAGGACAGTGGCCATTTGGAGCGGCGTCTGGCCGAGGCGGAGCAGCAGGTGGCCAGTTGTTCCCGCTGCCAGCAGCTTGGCCAGCGTCTAGACACCGTTCTCAGCCAGAATCGAACACTCGCCGGCGATGTGGATATGCTGAAGACGCTGGTCTTCAGGCTCAACGTGCAGATCGAGAGCTACCAGGATCAGAGGCGCCACGGCGAGGAGCCTTCCGGATCAGCCAAAGCCAGTTCTTCAACTGCATCCTGTCCTCCTTTACCCACTCACACGCTGGGTCCACTCCTGCAGGCCTACGACGAATCCCTGAGGGACAAGGATGCTCTGCTGGCTCAATTTAACGCGGAGTTTGAACACTTTACGGGGGAACTAAAAAGAGCTCTGGAGGAGAACACCAAGTTGGTGGGTAGACAGTACAATAAGTGGTATCTTAATCTTAATCCCTAATCCCCAATCCCATTTAGCTGCAAACGCAGGAGCAAATGCGTCGCGATCTCGGAGGCTGGCGGGAGGAGCGTGTTTGCCTGGTGGCCCAACTGGGCGTTTGCCGCTCCAAGGCGGAGGCCCAGACCCGCAAGACGGACCTGGCCAAAGAGAAGCTGGTGGAGGTGATGCACTGCTACGAGCAGCGCACGCAGACGCTGCTCCTGGACATGGACCACCTGCAGGCGGCCTATGCGCGCACCAAATCGGAGTTGGCCGCCTTGAAGAGTGCTGCTCCAGCTGCTCCTCCTCCCGTTGCAGCTCCCCTTCCCGCCGAATCCGATGCAGTGCAGCAGTGCAAAGTGCTGCTCGAGCAACTGAGGCAGGAGCACGCGAGGGAGCGATCCTCTCTCCAGGAGCAGCTGCAGGCCACCACCGCACGGGCGGCTTCCCTCGTTCGCAGCACGGAGAAGGCGAAACATGGCAGGGATCGGCTGAAGGCTCGTCTGCGGATGGCCCTGCAGTGGGCTCAAAAGCTGGAGGCGGGACAGGCGGAGGTGCGCGACACATACGAGTCGGTGCGACGTTTAGAAGTGCTCGTCCAGCACAAGGAGTCGCAGCTGCGCGGACTACACGCCCGCAATGCCGAGGAAATGGACAAGCTGCGCTATAAACTCCAACAAAAGGAGGAAACCATACGCACCCTGCTCAAAAGCAAGATGGAGCGGCGGCCGGCGGTGGACTAACGACTAGAATATAGCTTTTAACAATTAAAAATATATAATTTCAATACAAAATACATTAATAACTTAGCGTAGAAAGCTTTTGAAGCACAGCAGTCCGGGATCAGCCGGACTCAACCTGTTCGGCCAGCGACTCGTCCGCCAGGGCGCCCGATCCTCCGGAGCCCGCGGATCCCGAGCCGGCGCACACGACGCAGGCCTTGGGCACAGTCTGCTCTATGTACATGGTAATCCGCTCCAACACCTCGGGCACCACCGAGCACATCAGCTGCTCGTAGCGCTGCGCTCCCAGCTGCGCCTGCAGCGACTGCAGCTGCCACTTGAGATACTCGGTGAGCGGTATCTTGTAGACGGGATCCTTGAGCACCAGCTGCCGGTGGCGGTCGTCGTGGTAGGTCTTGGCCGGATAGCCCTTGGCGTGAAAGTCCTCGCTGACGCCGCCGCCGCTGCCCAGCGTCTGCTGCAGATCGTCCAGCTCGTGCTCGTCGTGGATGACCAGGGAGTCGTAGAAGCGCGGCGTCGTCTTCGAGGCGCCCTCCTCGGCGGCGGCGTACTGCTTGTCCATCACCTCGCCCAGCGTCTCGTCGACGAGCTGCAGGATGTGCGGCAGGCGGGCCAGCAGCAGCTCGTTGCTGCCGAAAATGGAGGCGAAGGCCAAACAGAAGAGCTTCCGCTTCTCGGCATGCGTATCCGGCACCATGGGGAACATCTCGATCCACACGTCCAGAATCCTGGCCAGGGCGTCCGCCTGCGGCAGCTGTTGCACCACCGACATGAACACCGACTGGTCGATGAGCAGCGTGCGCGCCACGATGGTGAGGTACCAGCCCATGGTCATGGGATACTCCTGCTTGAGGCACACCTGCTGGAAGACGAAGGGCAGGGCCGGGCGCACCAGCCGCAGTCCCATCGCCGCGTCCGTCTTCAGGCATGTCTCGAATATCCGCAGCATGGCGATGATGCCCTCGATGCGGATGTCCTCGAAGGAGCGCACGCAGTACGCCACGAAGCCCTCGCCGTAGCGACTCAGGTAGGCCTGGGCGTCCAGCAGGATGTAGGCGTGGATCAGCTGCAGGACGGTGCGCAGATTCTCCGACGACATCTCGATGATGGGCAGCAGGTGGTCGCACAGCGCCAGCAGCTCGGGCGTCAGCGCAGTCGAGTTGCCGATCACCGCCAGCCAGAGCATGATGCCGTCCTCGATGAGGTAGACGTGCGAGGGTTGCTGCGGATAAACAAGTGCGGTTGTTGTTAATTCATATTAAATAATAATAAAATAGTAATACAGATATATACATATGATTTATAGCTTTAATATTTTATATTGATAAGATTATTTTCAATAAGAAATTCAATAGGAGCTGAACCATTGGAAAAGATTGATCGAGAAATCAAGACAGAAATCTAAAAGCCCAGTTCCGATTGCGAACCATTATAGGACCGAGTCCCTGAATGGCATATCTACACATTAGACATCTGCATGACTGGAATCAAACAGGCTTTGAAATGATTCCATTCGAATAGAATAGAGTTGAGTAAATGCTCAGCACACTATGACTAGAATGGATTGCATCTTGGTCCGTATAGAGTATGACAGAAAAGGCCTAGAGTTAAACGAGTGATAACGAAAAACAGAATGTCATATTTGAATATGCTGAAATCATTCGAGTTATTCGAATCCATTCGATTTTCTTATATGACGTCATAAGGGCAAAATAGAAAATTTAATTTGTTTTGATATACATATATGTATGTCTATAAATAAGTATTTTTGTGATTTCTTATTTTCGAAATTACCAAGCTCGCCTTAGTTTAAACTCAAAACACATGCAAAAATCCACGAGAATTAAAAAAAAATATGGAAAAGCAATTAGTTTTATGAACATATCCTAGAACCAAAAGATCCGCCTCTATCGCCACAGATAAAGAAAGGAATGGTCTTCCTTGGACCGCGACTTCTTAGTATTGCCATCCTGGAGTTTGTTAGATAAATTCTTAAGAAGTTGCGGTCCAAGGAAGACCATTCCATTCTGCCTCTTCACTACACTATTTTGTACTTCTCCTCCTTGGTCCGCGAATTCTTAGGATTTGCGGTAGAAGGAAGACCATTCCTTTCTTCACTACACTATTTTATACTTCTCCTCCTTGGTCCGCGAATTCTTAGGATTTAAATATGAAAATGGCATGGTTGGATTCAGTGGCGAGCTAAAACTAAAGGTAGATTTGTAATTTAAAAAAAAGACAAAAAACAAAATATTTATGAAGGTATTTCAAAACAAAGGGCATAGGGGAACAAGCCTGGGAAAACTGCCCCAGACGATATTGCAAAATTTTAGATGAGGATTGGTAGATAGGAACCTAATCGATAAGAATTCTAATTTTCAAATAATTTGATCCGCTGGTTTACGAGTAATCTGCCGCAACTAAGGGGCTGTCCATATATTACGTAATCACCTAGGGGGGGAGGGGGTCATTGAAATGATTATGTTTGATTACATGGGGAGGGGGGGGTCTTGTACAATGATTACGTAATCATTTTATATTAATTTTTTTATTTAAAGAATTTATTTAAAAACTTTTTTCCTTTAATTATATCTACAAACCAGGGACCAAAAATAAGTGTTATTGTAAATTTTTCATACAAAAAAATCACGCATTGTAGTTTACAAATCCGTAATGATTTTTATTTTTTGATTTTTATAATAAAACTCAAAAAATAACTGTTATTTTTTGATTTTTATGAATAACAGTTATTCCCTTGACATTTTTGAAAAAATGAAATAATTAAAAAAAACATGATTCCCGTGTTTTATATAACTTACTAAAAATTTGTTAAAAAAGGCAACCGTGCATATTTTATACCTATATTTTTTTAAATTTATTTTACCCACAAAATCGCCATAAATCAAGTTTGAGTTTTATTTTTGATCACGACGAATAACTGTTATTTGCCAACTTTTATTATAAAACTCAAAAAATAACAGTTATTCCTTGAGTTTTACTTTACAAATCAGAAAATAACTGTTAAAGAGTGATTTTTTAAATAAAACTTATAACAGTTACGGTCCCTGCTACAAACTTAAATAGGAAAGCAGAGAAAAAATTTTTGTAGTGGCTGTGCGGCGAAAAAAAGAATGTTTAGTGGTTCAATCACACGAAGGACGCGAAGACCTGGAATGGCTTGACGAAGAGTATGTTGGGGATAATATCAGCGTAGACGAACCGAATGTGTCATACCAAACTTCATTTATAAACAATATTAAAGATTGGGTTGCATCTCCGTTTGAATCCACAGATTAAAACAAACAAAATTTTATTCTGGGGATTACGTAATCATTGGGGGGGGGGTTGTTTATTGAATGATTACGTTTGATCACCAGGGGGGGGAGGGGGTCAAAAATCACCAAAAACGTGATTACGTAATATATGGACAGCCCCTAAAGAACATATCACTTGATGTATTTTCCCTTCGGTGGTTCTTGAGAAAACTTTTTTGATGCCAATAATTTTTGTGTTAACCTTCAAGAATGTCAGCCAATCTTTGGATTTTTACCATTCTTATAAGCTACCAAAAATCGCGATTCAAATTTTCAAAAAATTGGTTCAAGACTTTCCAAGTCTGACAACACCGCCAGTTTTTTACAGTTTGTGTGTCCTATAACCATCTACTTCATATAAAATATTCATAATTTTTCGAGTGGTGCAACAGTGTTAAACAAACAAAAAACTGAAGAATTTATTTCTGGAAGGGTAGCAATGGAGTCAATAAAATATATTTGGCTTGTAAATAGTTAGTTCTTAGACCAGAATTATTATCAAAGAGTAAAGTTTTTAATATTATGGGTGAAAAGTGGTCCGAATTATAAAATGTTTGGCATGTACACTACTGGTCAAAAGAATAAGTACACACGTTACACCCTCACTTGCTAAGAGATATCTCTATAGTTATTGAGGCCAGACCTCCCAAACCTTTTTATTTGGAAAGGTTATTCTGTTCTGCAATATTTAAATAAACAATGGATACAGTAAAACCTGCCTAATCCATGTTAGCCCTACATTTGTGCGATAGGTCGGTTTTGGTGTGGTCAAAATAATAAGTACACTTGTGTTACTTATAAATTTTAAAATATTAAATCTAGAATGGGGCTACGGTTAGTATTTTATCTTAAGTTAGGATCATGTTTATAAGAAGTCTGGGCCAATTGGACGATCCAAAAAGTTTCCAAGCCTGGATTTGGTTATTTCAAAGTCATCATCCATGCTAAAATCTGATTTGCAGCTTAAAAGGAACACTTAACACTTAAGTATGGCTTGTGATTCCCTAAAATTTCCTTAAAAATACTACTCTGAATAAATAAAATCGATTTAGAAAAAAATGAGTACTTACACCGTAAAAAATAAGGAAAAAGGGGAAATAAATAAGAAAAAACCAAAGTTACATGCGGTTTTAATTAAAAAAAAATAGTTAAATTTTAAATTCTTAATTTTTTTATTTTTATTTTGATAGTAGATAAAACGACTAAAAAAATGAGATATGTTTCATTAAGATCGGTAAACAACTTAAACCGTACTACATGAATCGCACAACGCTAGATATCTATACATAAATACAAATTCCCCGTCCATACAAGTTTGTATGAAATTCGTTTTTAACGATATAGCAGTTTTGTTATCGTGCACATCGTCAACAGCCATTTAATAATTTGTTGACCGATCTTTATGAAACATATCTCATTTTTTTAGTCGTTTTATCTACTATCAAAATAAAAATAAAAAAATTAAGAATTTAAAATTTAACTATTTTTTTTTAATTAAAACCGCATGTAACTTTGGTTTTTTCTTATTTATTTCCCCTTTTTCCTTATTTTTTACGGTGTAAGTACTCATTTTTTTCTAAATCGATTTTATTTATTCAGAGTAGTATTTTTAAGGAAATTTTAGGGAATCACAAGCCATACTTAAGTGTTAAGTGTTCCTTTTAAGCTGCAAATCAGATTTTAGCATGGATGATGACTTTGAAATAACCACATCCAGGCTTGGAAACTTTTTGGATCGTCC